CCGGAATTGGCGCCGCCACCTACCAATTCCATCCCGCACAGCTCTGGCCCTTCCCGCCCTCCTTTCGCCAACCTCAGAGGTGTTCAATGGCGCATGGATCTCGGGATTCTGCCTTCTCCTCCTCCGCCGTCTTCATCTCCCTCTTCCTCTGTTCCCTCCTGGACAATTGATGTTCTCCGCCGAGTCACTGCCGATTCTCGCAGAAGGTAACTCACATATGGACTCTCTTATAATGTATTTCGGATGGCACACGGTATATCACTCGCCTGTTGTTCTTCAGTCATATCTTAATTGTCGATATGACTGCTTCCTGAACGACTTCCCTTGATGGTCGCCTAAACCTCTATTGTTTTGCGGACGCTGCAACTCATTAGGGGTTCTGCATGTCATCTGTATCGTCTTATAGTTTTATTTTGCTGATAAGCGCGAGCCATGAAATTGGGGATACTTCTCGTTCCTTGCCTTTTCGTTTAGAGTTCACAGCTGCTTCTGCTATCATCTACCCCGCAACTCCTACTGGAAAGGGAAAGAATTAATGCTTGTCCGCTGCAGTGTGCTAGATAAACTTGTTCATCAAAGTCTGAGGTAGTTCATGTAAGTGCGTGGATACACAAATGCACCAAGCACTCAGATTAATTCGAGACTAGCGCCAAAACTTTAAGTTGGAGATGTCGGTGCCATTCAGTTAAGTATATAAAGGAATATAGAGAGCTAAAATTGAATCTCCTGCAGTCCAGTCGTGCAACCCTTCTCCTTGAGTGGATGATGGTGAACATGATAGCATCCAAACATCTAGGATGATAAAGCAAAAACTGCTGCTTAATGGATTTTTTTTTTTTTTGCTTTGCGCTGATAGAAAGTTGTATGGGGGATAGGGTTTTGCTTCCCATTTCCTATGGATCTCGATTACGAAATTTCCTTACTGACGCCCTCATCAATCCTTCTCCTTTTCACGTGCAATGAGACTTAAGAGAATGCATGACATTGATAAGGAGAGAGGTAAGCATTTACTTAATGTGTTTGATGTTAAGTTTTTTTTTTTTGTCTTCATGAAATCCCAAACCGTTGGAGGAATGGTTAAGGACTTGTGAGCCAACGTTAGAGGGAAAGATGCCACAGCTCACACCTTTACTTTGGCCTTATTGTTTGTTAGTGATGCTGTGTCTCTGGTATCCATCCCTGTGACGAAAGTCTGGATTTACAAAAGGGAGATGGAGAGTGTTGGCCTGGGCTTGGAATAAGAAACAACTTGTAGATTTTTTAGCTACTTTATAAGTTATTGCCCAGGAGCTTTGGCTACATATTTGTTTCTCAAATTTTGGCCTGAAAAACAATGGCAAACATGATGAAAGAAAAGAAAAACAACTTTTTACTACTAATTACCAAGTTAGTCTTGGAATCTCAATTCCTTCTATGGTGACGATGTTTAATATTTCTTTCCTTTTTTGTTTAATCTTGATGTTACTCAAGTTTTTGTTTTGAGTATACCTGAATCTTTTCCTTTCCATTAGATATGCAAGTTTGCGAAGAAAGCTATTGGTTGATCCACATATGCCGAAGGATGGAAGTAATTCTCCTAATGTTGTTATTGACAATCCACTATCCCAGAACCCTGGTAAAGATTCTTTCTGTATTTGTCTATTTAAAGGTGTATCAGAACAAGTGTTCCAAATTCAAAGAACTAGTTAACAATACAATACTATGTTGTTTATCCATATTCTGTTAGCTGACGATTGCTTCGTCTCCCAACATTATTGGGGATTTTTTTTTATCTTCTGTAAATTAGTTTCACATTCCTTCTCCCAAAAATTTACGAAGTGTTTTAGTTTGACCACTGCTTGTGGTTTAAGATTTTGTGAATGTTGGCTGTTTGGGGTAATAAATGCTGGCCAGTTTTGTTATAACTCTGTTAATCATCTGCATTGACATTTTTATTTTGTTAATCATGTTATAAATTGATAATGCAGATAGCACCTGGGGGCGTTTCTTTCGGAATGCTGAACTGGAAAAAACAGTTGACCAGGATCTTTCACGTTTATATCCAGAACATGGGAGTTATTTTCAGACACCTGGATGTCAAGGAATGTTGAGGCGCATTCTATTGATGTGGTGCCTCAGGCATCCCGAGTGTGGTTATAGACAAGGTATCTTAAACTTACAGAGACATTCTATTTTGTTGCTGTTTGCTGGCTTGCATAGTATTTCTCTTTCCTATGCATTACTGCTACCGAACCTTTTTGTGCAGCTTTCTCAATTTATTGCGCTTATTTTGGCCACAAGAAGATATCAGAATGCAATTTTCGTCCTTTTTAATTTAAGACCAGGTGTATTGGAATGCTTCAAAATTCTAGTTCTCTCTCCTCTTTGTTATTATTTAACCATGTAGCTGAAGTAGAAATGACTACTATTCTTGATTTAACTTTTTTTGAAGGTCAAAGGTAACCATCTTTGTTGTTACCCACTTCAAGTCATTGATCTCTGTTCGTACTTGTCTTTAGCTTGCATCTGTCTTGTGGAAGTTGTTGATAGAAAGATGCAGACTTCTATGTAGTATTAGTTTTGTTAAATTTTTTTTTTTGTCTCCATAGGAATGCATGAGCTTTTGGCTCCTCTGTTATATGTTCTTCATGTCGACGTGAAACGTCTCTGTGAAGTGCGAACGCAGTATGAAGACTACTTTACAGACAAGTTTGATGGCATATCTCATGGAGACAACCTCTCCTACAATTTTGATTTCAAAAAAATAATGGACAGCATGGAAGAGGAGAATGACATCCGAGGGAATACTGTTAAAGTTACAAGTCTTGAGGAGCTTGATACCGAGATTCAAACAATTATATATCTCAGTGATGCTTATGGCGCAGAGGGTGAACTGGGAATCGTTTTGTCTGAGAAGTTTATGGAACATGATGCCTACTGCATGTTTGATGCTTTGATGAGTGGGGCTCAAGGTTCAGTCGCAATAACTGATTTCTTCTCCATTTCCCCTGTGGGTGGATCCTTCTCTGGCTTACCTCCTGTCATTGAAGCTTCCACGGCACTCTACCATTTGCTCTCTGTAGTTGATTCATCTTTGCACAGTCATCTTGTGGAGCTCGGTGTTGAACCACAATACTTTTCACTCCGTTGGTTGAGAGTTTTATTTGGAAGAGAATTTGCCCTTGAAGATCTCTTGTTAATATGGGATGAAATATTTGCAGCCGATAATAAAAAGCTGTGCAGTAGTGCTGGTGGAGAAGAAACCTTGTGCTTTAATGTATTCAGCTCTTCTCGGGGAGCATTGATTTCAGGTATGGCAGTTGCAATGATACTTCATTTGAGATCTTCCTTGCTTGCTACAGAGAATGCTACTACATGTCTCCAAAGACTGCTGAATTTTCCTGAGAGTGTAGACCTCGTAAAACTGATAGAAAAAGCCAAGTCCTTACGGTCCCTTGCTTTGGATTTCCATCTTATATGCCCCTCCCCTTCGTTCGGTGTGGATTACACTCATACTAAACCCAAAGTGATCAGAAGCCACACTCTTTCATCTGACTCTCTATCTTCAGTAACTCCTTTGAACAAGGTGCCAGACAGCTATTGGGAGGATAAGTGGAGAGTTCTGCACAAAGCAGATGAAGTCAAGCATAACAGTCTGGCAAAGCAAAACAAAACCCTAACCCAGAAAAAGGGCTGGTCAGAGAAGCTGAGGATCACTCTATCTAGAACTGAATCTGATCCATCTCCAACAAAAGCCGAGAGTCACAAGAAGGGGCAACATAAGTCTTCTGTCAGACGGAGTCTGCTTAAAGATTTGTCCAAGGAACTGTGCATGGAAGAAGATGATGTGAATGTGGTCCACATCACTGTTCCAAACCAGAAGGAATGTCAACATGCAGAAATCGAGGCTGAAAATAGTGTCAATGTAAATTTAAATTGTTCAACCGAGGAGAGATGCTTGGGAGACAATATTTGCAGCGAGGAAAACTCACCTGCTTTCTCAGACCCATCTAGTCCTCACAGTGGTGCAAATAATCAAGAGAACGGCTCAGAGAAAAGTAGTGTTGGCTCAAATTCATCGATTGATGGAAATGATGTTCATCCAGGGGACGTTTCAGTAGTCCTTCCTGTGTCACTCCTTCCTGCTGAGATCACTCTCGATTCTGGGAGTAAAAATGAGCGCACAGAAAAACCATTGACTGGAACTAAGAAACTTCTTTCGAGTAAACTTCAGTGGTTTTGGAAGTTTGGACGGGGCTCCACTGGTGAAGATGCATCAGAGAAGGGACAGGAGAGGGCTGGTGCTGTGAAGCCTGCTGCTGATGCAAATGCAGAGGATGATGTGCTAGGTGCTTCTTCAGCCGATGCATCTTTTCACTCTTATTCTAGTGCAAGAGGTGATGTTGTAGACCAAAATGTGATGGGTACTCTGAGAAACCTTGGGCAGTCTATGCTTGAACATATTCAGGTAATGTTAGTTTCTCTCGTAGTGCTTATGAATGTGTCAATTTGGTTGCACCTTCACTGGAGTGCCCTTTTGGTACATTTTTCATCCCTGAAGCAAAAGAGATGCTTTGCATTTATTCTCCACAACTTGATTTCATGCATACTTTTGCTTGGCATGGGATTTTAAGTGAGGAAAGCGACACATTGGTGATATGTGCAGGTAATTGAGTCTACTTTCCAGCAAGATCGAGGTAATTTTGGGCCAGCGGAGAGTTCTTCGAGAAATGGTTTGGTTGGTAAAGGACAAGAAACGGCAGTGGCTGCTCTGAAGGAACTTAGGAAGATTAGCAATCTTCTGTCTGAGATGTGAGAGCTGAGCATTAGTATACGAATGTTACATAAGACCTGTATATATATCTTGTAACTACACCCCTATTGTTTCAGTGCAGCAATAAAGCGAGTTTGTAGGTCTGGCTTGTCGTCCCCTCATGTAATTGTGCTTTATTGTGTAATGCATTGACACTCAACTCTGAAAGTAATTCGGTTTTATATATTTTAACGCATTGCTGGGCTTCCATGGATATTGCAGAGACGAAAACTCGGGGTAAGTTAGCATCCCCTTAACTTTAAAGGACCAGGAGTGGGGATTTGATCATTTGTGCAAAAACTTCAAAATTAGGGCACATCACGATTCCATGACAGGACTGCAATCAAAACAGTAATGTACATTGCACTTCATTTCTCTGTTTCACGACTACTGCTCAGCAGTTTCAGCTTCTTTGTGTAGGCCTCCGCCATTGTTTTGTGCAACAATGCTGGGAGCTAGTCTATAAATTATTTTGGCCAAAGAGAAACAAAGGAAAGGGGGCAAGAAAAGAAGATAATCCCTTCTCCCCGTTAAAGACTGTCTCACTTAAAGCCGATGATTTGCTTGGTCAGGTCTTCAATCTATATTATGAAAGCCAGGGAGAAGAGAAGTGATGAAGCCAAACACAATCATCTGAACTTCTTTCACAATGCCCCACCAAGGATTGCCTCCATCACCACCCTCCACATTCTCGTTCTCAGCCCTCTGGTTACCATCTACTCCAGCCCGATTCTCCTCCTCACCGTCTCCTTCTGCATCAGCAACATTGCATTCTGTCAGTTCAGTTCTTCCCAGAAGCATCGTAAAAGGACAAATGCAATTTCCATAAAGCCAGGACAAAGTTAAGATCCAAGTTACAATTTATTTAACCAATCAAACCTCTCCCTAAGTTGCTTAGCCCCAAAGTTCAATTTCCCAAGTAAGCTAGTTCCACTATCTCTTCGGACATGTTCAACTCTTAAGAATATGGTAACAACCAACATGTTACCTGCTTAGGCTGTGTAAAGGAATTGTATGTTACCTGCTAAAGGTGCATTCTCGTTCAGCCTAGCAGCAGGAGCATTTTCAGCCCTGGCAGCAGCCTGAGGTCGTCGAGGGGGTGCTGCTGCTCTCTGCATACTTTGTGACAGCCATCTCACCAGTGGTGTCAGAGCTCCTGTTTGATATCTGTTAAATAATAGAAATGTGAAGTTCCAATAATTTTGTGGGGAGAAAACACTGGATCAGACATCAATGTTAGTTCTAATTTCAGCTGCACTAAGTTGTAAGATAATTCCTAAGGGTTCGATACAGAATGTAACTTAGACTGAACGAACAAAAGATTAGATACTCACAAATATACAAGTGAGGCGAAAAGCACAAGGACAATGAGCCTTTGTCTTGATCCATCTTGGTTGAACAAGAATATCACAGCAGCTAGCTTAAGGATTAGGAACAAGTCCAGCTGAAACGCGATCTGAAATCTCCTTACTGCAACTTGTCTATGAGGTGCATGGGCCTGCTGTTGATGTTGGGGTTGTTGCCCGGCCGGTCCATGATCACCTGCAGAACCTGCTTCAGGAGGCGGTGTGCTGTTGGGAGGACAAAAGAAAAATCCATTTCAGCATGCAGATCAACATGATTAAAATGAACCAAGCACGAATTTTGGTATTGCGGAATGTACAAGAGGCGACGCAAGCTATTTCCTACTGGGAACAGACAAAAAGAGCCACTGAAAGCCTAATCAAGAAACAGTATGCAGCAGAGAATTACACATAACTCAAGGTGGAAGATCTAGGCAGCAGATGTCTTAATCCAAACATTCATTCATATCTAAGATAAAACCTACGTTTGACATAAATTTAGACATCATTTTAGACCTGGACATTTCAAAGTTCAAAAGTTGAAACCTTTGCAAAAGATTTATGTTGCGTTATGCACCATGGAGCTTGAAATCTACAATGTCGGACACATTAGCAGATAGCTGAATATCTCTCAGCCAGTCAAAATCCATCAAACCAGTCATTTAACTTGTGAGCAGCAACAACGGAACAAGTTCTTCTCACATATTTCCTGACATTAACAAGTTCTTCTCACATATCTTTCACCAACATTGCATTACATCTACTATTATGGTTTCAGACTGCAAAGCTGTGCAGAGACTGGGCCGTGAAAGAAGTATAGGTCAGGGACATAACAACATTCCTACAGGTAAACTAATTTAACAGCATGATACTCAGGCGTTATAACAGTGGCATACTTACGTTGGTATAGAGAAGCTAAGAGGAATAAGGGTATTCGCCGGGAGTCCTGCAATCGGTCCATTGAAAGGTGGCACCGGGACTGCATAGATCCCAGCCCCGCCAGTAATCTGTTGCTGGTTGGGAAAAGAAGTTACCCCGGGAACTATTGTAGGGTACAGGACTGGGAACATTTGAAGGTGAGCATTTGGATAGGCCGGGAAACCAGAGAACTTGGGTTCCTACAGTATGTATAGCTATTAGTTATGAAATCAAGAAGCGAGAATACCAAAGCAGAAAATCTATGACAGGAAATTTATCAATGAAAATCGAATCAACGCAGAGATAAACAGCGAATTCCCAGATCACGACACAGGATAGCTACCGGGAATTGCTTGAGGTTTTCGTGAGCCGAAAAATCAGCAGCCGTGTGATCGGAGCTCGACGAAGTCTCGGCCGGTTCAGCCATTGGCGAGCGAAAAATTTACGTGCACTCTCCCGCTTACTGAGACAAAAAAATATTGGACGTCTTCCCTTCTCTCCGACGGTCCGACCCCTTGGTTGACGGGAGATCGAAGAAAAACGTAGGTGTCGCTGCAATTTCTCTCTCCGTTGGCTATTTTTTACGGGTCGTTTGCTTGAGGGTTTTGGTGATGGATTTGGTCATGGAAATATATCCATCATGGACTTGAACCGAAATCCATCGTTTGCCTTAGGGAATTAGGGAGATGGAATTTGTGGGGCCCACCACTTTTGGGGTTCCAAATCCGTGGACCCCACGAAATTGGAAGTTCCACCTCTTGAGGTGAGATTTGGGTGATGGATTAAAATCCATGATGGTAAATTACCTTTATACCCTTAATTATTTCTTTAATTACAAATTTGTCCTACTTTAATTCAATGGTCATGCAACTGTAAACTTTTATAATTTCGTATTTTATAAATATGAGAATTTATCATTTCATTTTGTAATATCGTATTTTATTTAAATATGAATGTATATGTGATTTGTTAGATTCACCTAGAAACACTTTATGCTCATCTTGTACATTATTATTTTAGTGCCAAATTGTAATACATTTCTATATTTGTAGTTGAATTATTAATCCACATAGTGGTAAAGAGTTTAAAATTTGTTTCTATGTTTTGGATTAGTTTTAAATGAAAGATTTGGATTATAATATAGAAATATAATTAAATAAGGGTAACTAGGTAATTTGTATTTAATATCCACAAATCTAATCAAACAAAGTCCATAATCAAATCCATTAAGCAAACAATAGACTTGTTCAAATCCATAATGCCACCAAATCCATCATATATCCATGGTTTTCCAAAACCCAGATTTTACCAAAACCCTCATTTTTCAAATCCATGAAGCAAACGACCCGTTATTTTAGCCTCTGTTTTCCCCGGTCATCGAACTGTTCAGCCAGTGGGACAATGATGCAAAAACTCAACGTTGGACCAACGGGTGAAAGCCACGTATCTCATGGAAGGCTGATAAGAAACCCATTGAGGGGCTTTCCTGCCTTGGTTAGGTTGGAGCCCATTTCGGCAGAAGCTGTCCAGTTCTGTTTCGCAGCTCATTTAAGTTGTATGGGCTGAAGCCTCATTAAACAAAAGGCCTGTGTTTCTGATTCCGTTAAAGTGCCACTTTCCGTTTTTATGGGCCTGAAGCCTTGTAATCCATTTAGTGCCCTCTCTCTCTTCCCGCCTACTCTGTTGCGTTCGTTTCCCCTTCTAAGGTAGAATCGTATGCTACTTCGCGCGGCTCTCTAGGGTTTTTGTTTCTGCTCTCCCGCGATGCTTCCTTTCTCACGCTTCGTTCTCGGCCACCGTTCAATTCCCTCTCTCCGCCACCGCCGCCGGCAACGGAGACTCCTGTCTATCTCCTCCTCGCCAAACGTTCCGCTCTCACACCCGACTTACATGATATGGGCGTCCAACACCTCCCTCGGCAAAACACTCGTCTCTACTGGTCTAGCTTCCTCCTTCCTTCTCTCCCGCTCCTCTTACGCCGAGCATCGCAAGCTCCTCTATCTCAAACCCGTTCAGACTGGATTCCCGGCCGACTCTGACTCCCATTTCGTCTTCTCCAGACTGTGCTCACTCGCTTCCCTGCGAAGCTCAGGAGGTCCCTCTCTCTCATTTTCCGCCTCCAATTCCGTTATCAAATCCTCTCTTCCGGCTGCTATTGCCCTCTCGGGCCGAAATTCCCTGCCCGGGGAACGAATTCCCGCGTTCTGCGAGGAAAGCAAATTTCTACGGACCGCGGGTACCGGTTCTGCCGAGTTAGTGTGTGAAACGTTATATGCATGGAAGGAAGCTGTTTCCCCGCACTTGGCCGCCGAGAGAGAGAATTGTGCGGTGCCGGATTCCTTACTGGTGGAGATGTTGGAGAAGCATTTGACGGCTTCTCTGGAAGGGGTGTTTCAGAAGGAGAGTAAACAGGACTTCTGTATTGTTGAGACAGCTGGAGGTGTTGCAAGTCCTGGTCCGTCTGGAACCTTGCAATGCGATTTGTATAGGTACGTGATGCGTCACATTCATAAGGTTTTACCTTGGAACGATTTTTTGTGAACCTCGAGTCAATTATTTCTTCCTCTCATTGTAATGATATGAATAATTTGTTCTTGTCTGTTTGTTATTGGAATTCATGCTCTGATCCTATGTAAAAGGTTGCCAACCTTTGATGTCGTAGTCAAACATTGTCGGCTGTTTGTGAAATCCCGATTATGATTTTAGCAAGACAATTATAAACCTTAGCCTATTCATGTTTAATTTTTGTTTATGCTGTTTATGGGTATTCCTATAAATAGACAGCAGTAATTGGTGTTGACATTTGTGAACTGAAACAAAATGAGTCCAATCTTAATACATTCATCCTGCACCTCAGCTCATCAATAACGAGACCCCATAGTTGTGAAACGGAATATATAGCCATCTCTGCCTTTGCAGAATTGTAGTTTGCATGTGGGGTCCTTTCTGTGAAGTATTTCATGTAAACTCTTGTTAGCTTTTGACTTATCTTGCCTGTCCATGTTGGGAATTATGAGAACTATCTTACATTTATGGTCCGCATTGTGCTCATCTCTTAATTTATTTCTTCTAAAGGCCATTCCGTCTTCCTGGTGTTCTTGTCGGAGATGGGCGGCTTGGTGGCATATCTGGGACTATTTCAGCTTATGAGAGTCTGAAACTTCGAGGTTATGATATTGTTGCAGTGGTGTTTGAGGATCATGGACTTGCTAACGAGGTTCCATTACTATCATATTTCAGAAACAGGTATTTTGATATGGTTATGTTCTTGTTATTCCTTTCTTCTGCAGTAGTCACATCACTAAACCATACCTTTCTATCTATTAAAATGAATCATTCTGTTTCCTTTCTTGGTTACTGCAGGGTGCCTATATTTGTGTTGCCGTCCATACCACTGGATATGTCAAATGACCTAGTGGACTGGTTTAACGATTCTGAAGTAGTATTCAATTCTCTTAGGGAAATAATGGTCTCAACATTTTCAGAAAGGATACAGAGATTGAATGACATGCCAAAGAAAGCAGGGGATATTTTATGGTGGCCATTTACTCAGCACAAGCTTGTACCTGAAGCCAGTATAACTGTTATCGATTCACGATGCGGGGAGAACTTTGCAGTTTATAAGGTAAAGGGTTTTCTAACGTCAATCCTCACATGCCATGTTCTGAACCAGAAATGTTGGAAGTCTATTTTTTATTCTGCTAATCATCAAAGATTTTCAGACCTTTTCTTCATTCTTTGTTTTTGAAACTACTTAAACCAAACTGTTTAATAAATTCCTTTTCTTTTGTTATTTTGTTACATAGCCACCCGCCCAAAAACATTGAATTGCTCCAGAAAACATTATTTCATTAATTGCCTACAGGACTACTGAACCAGTTGGAGTACTTCCTTTCCTTTTTTGATTTCACATTACCATCCCATCCTCACGTCCCTAGATCGAAATTAATTGTGGCTGATTGCATAGGGTTGTGATGTTGAGCTACTGTTAATAGCTTAGTCTTAAAATTGATTGCTGTGTAGTTATTGGGAGTTGTTGGTTACCCAATTTCTGTTCGTGGTTGTGCCTTTAGCTTTGTACTGAGGTCCGTGTTTGGTTCAAGCTGACCATGAAGAAATATCCATTGTAGTTCTGTGTGTTGGAGTTAGTAACTTAATGGTGATTTGCTTGGTGGAAAGTTGACTGAGACTGGAATGATTATGATCCTTGTGATAAAGGTGATAGCAAATGATATACGGAAGGACTGTTCTTGTCATGGCAGTGAATTAGACAATCAAAGCAGTCTTGGGGAACTTTACTTGAATATTCGAAAGGAACAGCAACCTGTAGGGTTACTCTCTGTGCGGTGCTCCTTTTATTTCTGTGATTTATTAGGTTCGCTAGTTGATTCTATTGTTGTATGATGTCTTTAATTTGATTCTAGGATAGAAAGGGTGGATCAATAACTCAGCAATTTGATGCATGTGCTAGCTGGTGGACTCAAGGGCCTGATGCTGCTCTACAGGTAATTTTCGTTGCATGCAACCTTCTCCTTTTTTCCAAGCTCAGGTTGATGTTTGTGGTGTTCAGCATCAACTTGTTACATGGGGAATTGCATATAGGTTTCGAACTGTTAACTTGCGTTTTTTACCTTTCATCCTCATTACCATGTTTTTTGCATGAAAGGGATGAACTTGCTGGTGACGGCTTTTGTATATGATAAAATAACTGTAGGTTCACTTACCTACTGTGCAGAAAGACCCTAGGAAGGTTGGAGTCATTTATTCCTAGTTGGCCCAAGTCCATCTTGTTCTTCTTACCTGGGATGTTGCCATTTGCTGGTCACTTGGTTGCCATTATGTTCATCAAATACTTGAGTTCCTTAATGTGGTTACTTGTCTAGGTGATTTCAGATTGAGCTTGCAAGAGAATTGGGCTATGCTGCTGGACGATTTGGTCATGTGATGTTCCCGGAGAATGTTTATGAGCCAGTATTAGAATGTGCAGAACTTCTGCTCGAGGGTGTAGGCAAAGGTTAACCATTTTTTCCGCTAATGGATTTTGATGTCGCCCCACACTACACAATAGACAGATAATCCTACTATCTTGTTCAGCTTTTTCCTATTGTAAGCTTCATATGCATGTCCACCAAGTTATAGAAACATTGTCATTGTGTTCCCTGCTTATGACTTTTTATTTTTATTTTAGATGAGTGATTTGATATTTTCACCCAACTCTTTACCACTTAGTCAACCCCTTGGTTTATATCCTTATGATGTTTTTCTTTCTTTCTAAATTTTGATAACTTAGTATCCTTGTGATGTTTTATGGGAATAAGAAATATTTTAAGAAGCTCTCTATTGTTAAAGATAGACCTAGAGCCCTTGCATCCTATTGCTGAGTGTTAACATGATGGCTACGTTCCACTTTATAAGGCTACTCAAAGGTCAACATTTAAAATGGGAGAAACGAATTCAAGCCTTGTCCTTTAGCTTATTTGAAACAGGCTGCCGTTTATCGAGCCAATCAAATTTGTGGAACACCTCTGTTCCTTGTCTCGGTTTCTTTCTTGCCCTTTTTCTTCTTTCAGTTTCCTGTGCCCAGTGCATAGTCTCGATTCTTATTCCTATAGTAATTACCCAAAAATTTCTTGGTTTTTCAACTATATTCCAAGTGTCAGTTCTGTACTATGTCCATGAGTTTTACACTATTCTTTTGATATGAGCACGTGATGGGTAATCACTTGCATTGCGTGTTCTGCAGGTTGGGCTGCCAGGAGTTACTTTTCTGATAACGGGTCAACTGCGATTGAAATTGCCCTCAAAATGGCATTCCGCAAATTCTGTAATGAAAATGATGTGCTTCCTGTCAGGAGCAATACTGGTGGGAGATGCTTTGACCTGAAGGTATGTCAAATTTGTGCTGCTTCACTTCGATTTTTCTGAATATGCTTGGTTCATGTGAATTTGTGCACACGTCAGCTTGGTTAAGTTAATTTTTGAATCGGTCATAACTTCCATGTTTCTTTTTGGCAGGTATTAGCTCTTAATGGGTCTTACCACGGTGACACATTGGGTGCAATGGAAGCTCAAGCACCATCATCATATACGGCCTTCATCCAACAGCCATGGTATGCTGGTGCCAGCTTTTGTCACGAGGATGTTGAGTTTGGATTTATTTGATTTTATGACTAAATTCTTGGCCTTTGCATGGCAGTCTGGTATAGAACGAGAAGTATTAATCCTATTCCTGTCTTAGATTTTCCATGTTATATCACGTTGCTGAAATCAAACTTATGTATTTCACTTTATGCATTACAATGCCTGGACTGGAGCATTGGTATTTTGGGAATATGCATTATGAAGCTATGTAGTGTTATTTGTATGAGCGTGTTTTATAGCATACTTTTTCCGTAGAAATTGGCACTTAATTTAGATGGGCTTGCTTCTGGTTTTGCAGGTACAGTGGAAGAGGGTTTTTTCTGGACCCTCCTACTGTTTCTATATGCAACAATATGTGGATTGTCTCTTTACCGGCTGGCATGCATTCAGGGGATCTGTATAATGTGGTGACAAGTAAGTGAACTTGCATCCTCTAGTTCTATTTTCTGTAAATTTCATTGCTTTTAATGTTTACTTACCCGAAGTGACATATTATAGCCTACAGTTCCCGGGATGAAATATTCCACAAGAGCAGAGATAAGTCAGATCTTGCTCAGGCTTATTTGTCATACATATCAGAACAGTTGGTTTCGTTCTCAGATAAAGAACCATCAGTCCAGATTGGAGCATTAATTGTAGAACCAGGCAAGTAATTATCATAACATATTTTCTTTATTCACTCTCTTGAAATTGTCTCCTCTCGTTCCCTACCACTTGGTCAATACTTCACGTTCACTTTGTTTGTGTTTGCGTTGTTACTTTGTCTTGATCCGACTATGCCAGCTTGAGTAGTTTGTTCAGCTTTCTGTTGGTTTTCCTTTTAGTTTAGCTCATTTTGAAAATCCTCAATTCTCAATTGTCTTTCTTGTTGTATTTGAAAATACTTTAACCTTTTGCTTTCGTATCTATTACTTCTGTACCAGACTTGACAGCCATAGACTGCTTATATAAATATTGGTCCTTCTGTTTCTACTACTGCTACTACTACTAAATCTTCAGCACTAGGAACTTGGTTGTGCCAACCACTTCTTTCGGTGCCTTGTTATTTGTATGGTTCATTGTTGACAATGGTATCTGCTGCATCTTTTTCTGATTTGTTTCTGTGGTTCCCTGCCAAATGGGTATGTGCTGCATCTTTAGTTATACAAGGAGCTGGAGGTATGCTTCTCATTGATCCACTTTTCCAACGGGTTCTAGTCAATGAATGCCGAGGGAAAAAGATTCCAATTATATTCGATGAAGTTTTTACTGGGTTCTGGCGTCTTGGTGTCGAGGTCAGTGCCACTTTTAAATAATACATCTTACTCTCTATGCTTGCAACAAATTCAACAGGTGTACCAAACTTTTTTTTTTTTTTTATGTAAATGTCCCGAACTTCCTTCAATACATAATTTTTATTTATTTTCAAAGACTGCAGCAGAACTACTTGGATGTGTACCTGACATAGCCTGCTTCGCAAAGCTGATGACTGGTGGTGTTATACCGCTGGCTGCTACATTGGCCACAGAAGCAGTTTTTGATTTGTTCACTGGTGACTCAAAAGTAATGCATAGTATATCTTTCCATCATATTGGCCACAGAAGTAGTTTCTGCAATCTGCAGTCTGGAAATTTCACTTGATGCGATTGATGCTTGTTTGTGCAGCTGAATGCCCTCTTGCACGGACACTCTTACTCTGCACATGCAATGGGGTGCACTGCTGCTACTAAAGCGATCAAATGGTTTAAAGATCCCAAGTCTAATGCTAATATCCTTTCTGAAGGAGGGTTGCTTAAGGAGGTATGTGATGGGTTTAGTAATGTGCTTGTGTTTTTGTTGGTCGTTTCTCTCGTACCTTTGTATAAGGTTTCTTTAGTTAGTGAGCTTTTTCTTTTTCTATGCATGCAGTTGTGGGACCCAGAGCTGGTAGCACGGATATCTTCCCATCATTCAGTCCAAAGAGTGGTTGCATTAGGGACGGTATTTGTTGTAGAACTACGAGCTGAAGGGAACAATGCAGGGTATGTTGCTTTTTGCTTACATGTGTCTGGAGTCTCTCATTAACGCCATTTCTGCAATATGAACACATTGGCAGGCAACCCACAAAATGGGATTTAAGTTTGTTGGTTGTTTTGTTCTTGCTGATGTAGCAGTTGATGCCTTTTCTGCATGTCAGGTATGCTTCAACATATACAAGAGGACTTATTATGAAGTTGCGGGAAGATGGGGTGTACATGAGGCCACTGGGCAACGTCATCTATCTAATGTGTACACCTTTAACGTTGCCTAGTACCTGCAGGGGGTTGCTTGTCAAACTTCTCAGGAGACTGCAACAGTTCGGCGAACCCTCGAGTTAAATACTATCGGTACGTTGGGAACTCTTTGTATGTGTCTCCTTGTATTTCTTGTTTGATATCTGGAAGGCACAGCTTCCATTTCTATGGTTGTGGAAGTTAATTAGTGACGTTGGCTACTACTACGAACTTGATAACTTGAATACATCCTTCTTTCTCTTTTTCCCCCATTTTGTTACCAAATAAGTAGGGATGACAATTTCGACTTGACCTGTTTGGCCTGTTTTGGGGCGTGTCAGACTCGTCCCGTAGGCGGGGTGGGGCGGGCATGGGTACTCTCATCGACCCGACCTGCCCTGACCCGCCCTATTTACGACCCGTTCTTACATGTAAGTTTAGTCAAACTACTTAGGATTTTCCTTTTATTACATCATATGGTTATAATAAAGTTGTAAATTAGACAAAACCTTAATTTATCCAATAATTTAACTACGGGCCTGTTTACTTTCATTTCTGTTTCCTGTTTTTGAGAAAACAGATGTTGAAAACAGGTGAAAACAACATTTTTTCGTTTCCAAAAACAGCAGGAAGTTGCCACTTTCTGTTTTCATAGTTGGAAACGAATAGAAAACCGAATGAAAAGTAAACAAGTTTTCTCGTTTCTGTTGCCAAATTTATGACATGAAAACAGAAAACAGGAAACGAAAATGAAAGTGAACAAGACCTACATTTATCATAATATTGTTTGTTTCCTTGGTCTTTTAACACATATTTTTTATGTTTTTCATATAAATTGCATACCCATTGGGTCGACCTGCCTCGACCTACGACCGTGATAAATTAACCGATATGGACCCGATCTGCCACGGAACTGAGTTTGAGAACCAAGAAACCCACCTCGGATCTGCTCATTGCCATTCCAAAAAATAAGGCACTTCCTTTTGTAACTATGAGTCACTGCTATATCAAAAGTTTTTGCATTATGTTAGTTTAGAGATGGAGGAAACTTGGTTCCATTTACCAAGAAAGAAAAGGAGATGGAGGAAACGTCCATAACTCTCTATTAATTGAAGCAGAAAATTGGGTATACTGTCACAAAACCTTGACTAACAAAATATCGCAATAAAACATATATTGCGATATAAAGATAGATATTGCATTTAAACGTTTATATCGAGATATAATTACCCTTTTCTAACACGAGTATCGCGACATATACTAATACATTCACCTCTTTAGTCGCATCAACGTTTGCATTCTCACGCTCAAGCCCCGCGCGTTTTTCCTCTTTTGGCTCCTCCTCTATCGGTTCATCGTCTTCCTCTTCAACGACCCTAACCATTAGAGCTCCACTTCCATTCTCTTCAAGGTCCCTCCTCGAGCCACAATTCAGCGGCCAACTTCAAACTCTCGACACCCCGGATCTTCTAGGAGGATAGGGTCGGGGCCTCTCCATCGTTTTACCCCCGCTAGTCGCGATCGTCGATGCTGAGTTCTCGGCCTTCCTCTTGCCTCCGCTAGACACGCCTCTTCCTCTCCTACTAACCGGTGTGAACCTCTTCATCACGAGAGACTACAACGTTTGATCGTCGGCTAACATTCTCACCTTCTTTCCCTCCTTAGCCGGATTATCCGAGGAAACCTATTAATAAGAAATTCATACTCTAAGACAACCTTTCTCGATTTAAAAACCTCCTTTTTATCTACCCAGACACCCTCTACTCAAAGTCCCATCCTCAAACCTCACTCCAAAGGTCCCTTAACCCCCTTTAAAATTTTCTAGAATTTCAAAAACGACCGTTTTTCTTAATTATTCTTATCTTGGACGAATTTTTCACCTAATTTGAACCTTCTTAAAAATTCAGATAATAATTTTCCTACATCAATCATGAGTACTTATACCCTGGAAAATTATCAAACCCCTATAAACTCCTCGGAAATATTTTTATTTAATTAAAACTAATATTAGAACAATTTCTAAAAATAGAAAAACATATTCAAAAATCCCCAAATTAAATTACAGTCATCTCCTAGACCTCCCTCAATTTATAAAATCTTAAGCTCAGGAACAAAACCCCCACAAAGACTCGAAACAATTTAAAACATCTAAAACAAGTTTATAAAAATTCCCAGCAGCTTTAGTGACCACCCAAATTCTATCACTAAAAGCCTGAACGCCTGTTGCTAAAATCTCAGAATTGCACCCTCACGAAAAATCACCAAATCGATCGATCTAACTCAAGGGATCGAGTTCCCTTACCTCTAGAACGTGCCTAAGCCTAGGTTGGATGACCCGGGACGTTGATCTCCTCGTTGATCGAACCCTCAAATGTCACCGCTAATAAAATACGAGTTTCGGATTAGACTATCGATAAATCGGGTTTAGAAATCGCGAAGGAATTCGTGATCCTTACATAGAACCACGAAAGGGATGAGATTCGGATTGGGATAGGGATCGGAATCGGAATTGGGGTCGGGATCGGGATCGGCGGCTCCTTCTTCTTTTCCTCTCGCCCGAGATGAGGAGCAGGGGCGGCGGTGCTACTTTTTTTTTTCTCTCCGCTGCCGGACGCTTCACTGCTTGCTCTGACTCTCGCACTGGGGAAAACTAAGGGGCAGGGGGTTTCTTTCTTCCGCCACTGCTGCGGTTACAAATTGGTGGGGAGGGTTTTTTTTAGGATTAATTGCAAGGATGGTCACTGGGTTTACTAAAACTGTTTATGTTTGGTCACTGCAAATAGTTAATTCCATTCATGGTCACTAAGATTAGTTCAATAGTTCAAGTTTGGTCACTCTCCGTTAGTTTTTGCTGATGTGACAGTCAACTATTATAGTTGACCGTTAAATGAGTGACGTGGCCATTAAAAAAATAAGAAAATAATAAAATTTAAATATTTACAATTTCCACCTCATTTTACAACTATTAAAAAATAAAAATAAAACTTACCTCCGCCATCTACGCCACCATGGCCATGACGCGATCTCCTCCGCCGCCGCTCCTTCCTCAACGTCGGCCTCGCTTTGCTTCATCTAGACATTATACACCTCCATAGAGGACTTTGTTCAAGATTTCATAATCGAAACATCAGTTGTTAACATGCTAAATGTTAAATACTTCAACACAACCTCCGATAATTAGGTCCCCGCTCTTGCACGGTTGCGCACCCTAGTCAGAACTTGATGGCGGCGCGGCTCCTCATCCGTCGCCGCCGCCACATCGGACGGTGGAAGTAACCAAACCCATACATCCCAAGGACCGTCGTCACAAATCTAGTCGGGTACCCGATTCCGGCCGTCATCCAAGAAAACCATACGAGTCCCTCCTCGCTCTCGATTCCGTCTCCGGGAGTCGATGCCGCCTCCTCCGGCGTCATTGGCTCGATGCAGGGCACGCAAATTTGCGTCCCGCACAGCCCACCGACATTTGCGTCGTAAGAATCCATGTCATAAATCTTGTCCATTTGGGGACCGTGCGGAATCCGGCCGGTGAGATTGTTGTCACTCAGCTTCAGATTCGTCAGCTGCAACAGTTTCCCCATCGACTCTGGAATTTCTCCGTACAGATCGTTGTGCGACAGATCCAAGCTCTCCAAATCCCTCATTTCGCCAAAGCTATCCGGGATGCGACCGGTGAGCTGATTGTGAGAGAGATTGAGCACTTTCAGGCTCGTCAATCTGCCCAAGGTGCGAGGAATTTCACCGGATAATCGATTGTTGGATAGATCGAGGAAAGTGTATAACCCTAGATGTTCGTTGGGAAGACCCAGATGGAGCGTCTTCCAGAGCACCTCCAACAATGGAGTGAAGTTAGTCCACATCTCCCTGTCAAAATAGTTGAAGTAACCCGAGCTGTGACTAACCATCTCCTTGATCGAGGAGTCGGAAGGAGCGATTCGCATTCTGGCGAGATCTCCCAAACTCGCCGGCACTCTGCCGCTTACCCTGTTCCCGGAGAGGTCCAAGATTCGGAGACTGGTCAGGTTCGAGAACGCTTGCAACGGGATCGAGCCTTCGATGTAATTGTTTCGAAGAACCAGAATTTGGAGGGACGACATTGTGGAGAGGGACGTCGGGATTTCACCTGAGATATTGTTGTTGTTGAGGTCGAGAAATTTGAGGGTCTCGAGATTTCTCGGCGAAATCCCGGTGAACTCGTTGTGGATGAGCTCAAGCACTCCCAATTGGTAGCGATTACTGACATAAGCTACGGATATTTCGCCATGGAAGCTGTTGAAGGAAATGTCAATGTATGAAGGACAAGACGAGGAAGGATGTCGACAGAGGGATTAAATCGAACAGCCCAATTGAAATCCCACCCGATAGAAGATTGTCGTCGAGGGTGGGCGTGTATAGCTTGGTCAAGTTATGGATCGAAAGAGGTATCCCGCCGGTTAGTCGATTGTCGCTTAGAGAAATGCTGTCGAGTCTGGACACGTTCCCAATTCCAACTGGAATCTCCCCTGACAGAAAATTCCCCCGCAAACTTAAAGACTCCAACTTTTCCAATCCCAGAAGAGCTTGTGGAATCGCACCAGTTAATCTGTTGTTACCCATATCAAGTTCCTACAACTTCGTCAGGTTCCCAATCTCGCTGTCGAGTCAGGACACGTGCCCAATTCTTGAGGAAGGAGCGGCGGCGGAGACGATCGCGTCATAGCCACGGTGGCGTAGATGGCGGAGGTAAGTTTTATTTTTATTTTTTAATAGTTGTAAAATGAGGTGGAAATTGTAAACATTTAAATTTTATTTTATTTTTAATGGCCACGTCACTCATTTGACGGTCAACTATAATAGTTGACTGCCACATCAGCAAAAACTAACGGAGACTAACGGAGAGTGACCAAACTTGAACTATTGAACTAATCTTAGTGACCATGAATGGAATTAAATATTTGCAGTGACCAAACATGAACGGTTTTAGTAAACCCAGTGACCATCCTTGCAATTAACCCGTTTTTTATGGGAAAATTTGGCTGGGGAAGGGATTTGACGTGGGAAAATTGGGGAAGGGTTTTAGGGCCGCTCGGCTCACTTGGCCGAATAAATTATTGTTTTTTTTATATAATTATAGTAGTAATAATAATAATGATAATAATATTTATTATTAGTGACCATGAATGGAATTAAATATTTGCAGTGACCAAACATGAACGGTTTTAGTAAACCCAGTGACCATCCTTGCAATTAACCCGTTTTTTTATGGGAAAATTTGGCTGGGGAAGGGATTTGACGTGGGAAAATTGGGGAAGGGTTTTAGGGCCGCTCGGCTCACTTGGCCGAATAAATTATTGTTTTTTTATATAATTATAGTAGTAATAATAATAATGATAATAATATTTATTATTATTATTTCTAATCCGCGGTTGTAACTCTTAGTACTTAACAGTCAATCCAACCGATCATGTATTAAGGTCGAACCTAAGTCTAAAGTACCAAGGTGTTACATTACCTCCACCCTTATAAAAATTTCGTCCCCGAAATTTGCTCGGAACTCATCCTTCTATCAACACCCTTCTTATACTTCCTTCCCATGATCATCTATTCTTACTATAACAACTTCGTTGGTATCTTTTGCTCAAATAAGTTTTCTAGCTTGCAGCACTCGTGTAATCATAAGTGTCTCACTGCCCTTTTTACTTCCCAGCTTGATCCAAACATGGTGAAACAAAATGCCAATTCGGCTTGTCATGTTGATCCAATTCTCCTGGTAGTTGATGTTGAACCTAAATCCAAAATCGAGACATCACATTTCCCCCCTCCTTAAGAAAAATTTCGACCTCGAAATTTGTTCGTTGTGACGACTCCAAGTTTCACTTGTGATAATCTCTTTGCAAGGAGTTGTACCTCCTTCTAGCCTTGATGTATTGATCCCAAGACATCTTGTGAGGCTCCCTATGATATACTTAGTTCTTCCTTTGCTTGCTTAAGTGGCCCTAGTATTTTTCAAAGTCTAACTTTCAGCTGCTCCTTGGGGTTGTAGCCCTATGTTCAATTCTCCTGAGCTCCACGACCCTTCCTTGCACCCTTTCCTCCCGATTATGGGGACATTTGAAGTAACTGCTTGGCTCTACCAGTCGATGTTCTAACTGCTTGGCTCCTTCCAGAACCTTATTCTGATCAGCTCACATCCCCATAGAATATGAGCTACCTTGACCCTCCTCTTCTCACTCATGAAGGGGTTTCACTAAACGATCCCTCTAGGAACCTGCTCCTTCTCCTTCCCAAGACGTATCATACCCCCTGGGGCATCCTAAAGTTATTTCCTTATCATGGTTAGAGTATACTGGAGATTCTAAAAATTTCCGAAAGACTGACTCGTTTGGCCAAACTTTTAACTGACACTCCCTTTTTCCTTTCCTTTTAAAAACTGAAACCTTAAAAACGCAGATCGTCACTCCAGTATTCCTTGGAGGCCAAGGAACAGAGGAGTGCCGACTCTGATACCAAAATAACACAACCCGATCTTCTTAGAAAACCAAACCACAACACAAACCGGAAACCGGTTACTCCGGAGCAACCAAACCACTTTTTAAAATAAACTAAACCGACAATGTTTAAGAATTTCAAATAAAAAGCCTGAACACTTGGACAAATGACAATCCCGATACTTAAAATGAATGAACTCAGAATCTCTAGTTTACACTCCTAACCATGTAACAAAGAAATTAAACTATTCTAGCTCAGACTCTTCACGAGTTCCTTGACTTCTCATCAATGCTGGTGCAGCTGCTTGCATCGCCTTGCCTCTTCTTGCAATCCGCCTCTGCTAACCCTTCCCCGAACTGGTGAGTGAGAAGGGGTCAGTCTCGTCGTTACTTCCTAAGGTCTTTGCCCTAGGCAAACTCCTTACTAAACACATTATTAGGGGAATGCCTTCCTTAGACGAAAGTCGTTCTCACTTTCATCCTTTAAACTTTACTATCAAACAGTCTATAAGAGATCTCTACTCCTATCTTATCTTTAGAATTCCCTTACTCATATTCTTAATCCATAGACACCAACACTAGGGACCACCGCGTTACGTCTCGCCGTCCGGTGTCCCTACCCTAGTATGCCAACCGCGTTACGTCTCGCCGTCCGGTTGCATACCCAAACTCGGCAATGGCATTGCGTTACGTCTCGCCGTCCAGTCCATGCCCGGTCAACTACCGCGTTACGTCTCGCCGTCCAGTAGTGACCCAACCGCCCGGGGGTTCCTCATACCATCAATCCATAAAACATCACATACATCCGTACATAGCACAACGCGTGCCTCCACCCTTACAGGCGGTGCGATGCCACACACACATATCGCGCATACTAGAAAAGTTAACTAAATAATAACTTGAACGAAAAGCATAAACTAAAAGACCTACGACAGAGATTTTACCCACTTTACATTCACCTCTTTAGTCGCATCAACGTCTGCATTCTCACGCTCAAGCCCCGCGCGTTTTTCCTCTTTTGGCTCCTCCTCTATCGGTTCATCGTCTTCCTCTTCAACGACCCTAACCATTTGAGCTCCACCTCCATTCTCTTCAAGGTCCCTCCACGAGCCACAATTCAGCGGCCAACTTCAAACTCCCGACACCCCGGATCTTCTAGGAGGATAGGGTCGGGGCCTCTCCATCGTTTTACCCCCGCTAGTCGCGATCGTCGATGCTGAGTTCTCGACCTTCCTCTTGCCTCCACTAGACACGCCTCTTCCTCTCCTACTAACCGGTGTGAACCTCTTCATCACGGGAGACTACAACGTTTGATCGTCGGCTAACTTTCTCACCTTCTTTCCCTCCTTAGCCGGATTATCCCAGGAAACCTATAAATAAGAGATTCATACCCTAAGACAACCTTTCTCAATTTGAAAACCTCCTTTTTTATCTACCCAGACACCCTCTACTCAAAGTCTCATCCTCAAACCTCACTCCAAAGGTCCCTTAACCCCCTTTAAAATTTTCTAGAATTAATCCATTCAAAAACGACCCTTTTCTTAATTATTCTTATCTTGGACGAATTTTTCACCTAACTTGAACCTTCTTAAAAATTCAGATAATAATTTTCCTACATCAATCATGAGTACTTATACCCTGGAAAATTATCAAACCCCTATAAACTCCTCGGAAATATTTTTATTTAATTAAAAAAAATATTAGAACAATTTATAAAAATAGAAATGCATCTTCAAAAATCCCCAAATTAAATTAAAGCCATTTGATAGACCTCCCTCAATTTATAAAATTTTAAACTCAAGAACAAAACCCCCCATAAAGACTCGAAACAATTTAAAACATCTAAAACAAGTTTCTGAAAATTCCCAGCAGCTTTAGAGACCACCCTAATTCTGTCACTAAAAGGCTGAACGCCTGTTGCTAAAACCTCAGAATTGCACCCTCACGAAAAATCACCAAATCGATCGATCTAACTCAAGGGATCGAGTTCTCTTACCTCTAACGTGCCTAGGCCTAGGTTGGATGGCCCGAGACGTTGATCTCCTCGTTGATCGAAACGTCACCGCTAATAAAATACGAGTTTCGGATTAGACTATCGATAAATCGGGTTTAGAAATCGCGAAGGGATTCGTGATCCTTACCTAAAACCGCGAAAGGGATGGGATTCGGATTGGGATCGAGATCGGCGGCTCCTTCTTCTTTTCCTCTCGCCCGAGATGAGGAGCAGGAGCGGCGGTGCTTTTTTTTTCCCCCTCTCCGCTGCCGGACGCTTCACTGCTTGCTCGGGTTCTTTCTTTCTTCCGCCACTGCTGCGGTTGCAAATTGGTGGGGAGGGTTTTTTTTATGGGAAAATTTGGCTGAGGAAGGTATTTGACGTGGGGAAATTGGGGAAGGGTTTAGGGCCGCTCGGCTCACTTGGCCGAATAAATTACTGTTTTTTTATAATAATAATAATAATAGTTATTATTATTATTCCTAATCTGCGGTTGTAACTCTTAGTACTTAACCGTCAATCCAACCGATCACGTATTAAGGTCGAACCTAAATCTAAAGTACCGGGGTGTTATAGTGACTTCGTGGGTCGTTCTTGATTTAGGAGCGTCGTGTGCGTGAGCTTAGTGGTGTCAATAGAACGACTCCAATCATTTCTTCGTGCCTAAACATAACTCATCCTTGTGTCCCGGAGCTCCCACCTTCGAGTTTCCATAGAGGTTCTACATAGGTTGTTCATATGTGGTCCTTGCTAGGGTTGAGAAAAATGAAATGTAATGTTGGAGTTAGTTCCTCAAAAAGAAAGCAGTGGTCGATAAATGTTTAGGTGGCAAGTGTTTTTACTCTCTAATACCCCCCTCAAAAGAAAAAAAAGAAAGAATATAAAAGAAAAGAGAAACGAAAAAGAGGTAATAAAATGGGGTAAATAAAGTAGAGAATGCCACGAAAAAACCAAAGTACATGCTCTAGGAGGGGTTTTTTGGAACCCAAGCCATCGAAACCCCCACTTTGTTTAGAACTCCTTCACTACCAAACCTTAAAGAACTAGCAAGAGTTGACCGAGGAGTGCTTCAAGGTAGTTCATGATGGGTGATAGTTGGAAGGGAGAGATAAGGGTTTTGGCCGATGCTAGTGGCCTTTGATTAAAGAGAAGGGTTTTAGTCGAAATCATAGACCCATTGGGTTTAGGTTGAAGATGTAGAACCTCACGTCATGATTGCCACCACCCAAAAAGCATTTTACCCATGTCCAAGCCAATCGCCAGTCATCTGAACCCGTGTCTAAGACCTCCGGACGAGCTAGTGGTGACAACCATCCCGTGAACTCTAGCGTTTTGAGGTTACCGCCGTGGTATTGAGACGATAGGGCCGAGAGGTTACGATTGTGCACATCTTTGGCACCAAAAAGGTCCCGACCCCACTGGTCTTGAGAGTGAGTGGTTCATTCTTGCTTTGCATGTCATATCATACCCCGGTGAGGACCTTTGTTGCCTTTCCATTTGTTCCTCGGACTTGAATTCCATGCATGGTCGAAAAGAATCGAAAACCGGGAGAAGAGGTGAAAAAGAGCCAGTTCACGGCTAACTGAAGGAGTTCACGGTCATGCAAGACCGTGAAGAAGGGGAGTTGACCGTGAATCGCGAGGAGTCCAGAGCCAATGTGAAGGTTACTGACGCGAGGTAAGTTCACGGTCACTAAGACCGTGAACAGACGTGAGCGATGTCGAGCGTTTTGGCGCACGCCTTGAGTTCACGGACGCGTTTGATGGTTCACGGCCGTGAACTCAGCTCTTCTCGGGTTTAAAAGATGAGCTGAAAGGAGGAGAGAGGGGAGAGCCCACTTTTGTGTGAAACACCTTCTTCAGCATTCTAGTGAGAGAAACATAACCAAAGGGAAGAAGAAGATTAGGGTTTGGCTTCAAGGTAGATTTTGGGAAGATTTCCCCAAGGAAATCTCAACTCAAGGGTCAAGAAGAGGAGCATCCTCAAAGATGGTTTTCACTTTTTCCCCTTTTGTTCTTCCCACTTCTAGCATGGAGTATACCTCCTTTCACTTGGGTGTAGTGAAACCCTAACTCTACCATGTAGTTTTTTTGTATGTGTTTTGGATGATTGTCATTGGGTATTGTTCAATTCAATGATTGAGGCATTATTCACCATGCTTGTGCTTATCAACTTAGGGGTTGTGCATGTTTTGTGCTTAGCATCCTTAGGTTTGTGCATCTAGGTGCTTAGCAACGTAGGGATTGTGCATAATTGTGCTTAGCACCCCTAAGTTTGTGAATTTAGGTGCTAGTAATCTAATTTGCCACGTTAGCCTAGTTTAGAGAGGAAAATCCCCCTTTCAAGGGAGACTCAATCGAGTTGGTTTTCCTTCCGCTTTCTAAGCCACCTAAACTAGGTTGAGTTAGGGAAACCCTCAATGTTGAGTTAAACAAGTCGATTAATCGTGGTTAAACCATCCGACCTTAGAGTTGAGCGAGGGAGTACGTCAATTACCGATTGTCCAAACCGAGAGGGTCGAGTGACACTACCTTTCATCCTCACCTCAGTTTGGCAATTGAGACTGTGGTCTCCAGCCACATATGCATTCCTCTACGGTTCACGATTAACGCGCTCAAAGGCATCGTTCCAATTCACATAGCATGGTAGCGGTTAGGGGGAAGCTACACCCGAGTGACTTTCCACAAAAGAGTTATCAAACAAAATTACATTTGCTTTCTTTCATTTCAATTAGCAAACCTTTAAACCAAAGTTTTATCGCTAGATAATGATTTCAACAACCGAAGTAGGGATAGACGGACTGCCCGGGTCGATATCTAAATACTTGCCCTATACTGCACCCGATTAGAGTTTAAAAACTTGGGCTCTAATTGGGGTTTTATTGTGGTGTAGTTTCGTGCGAGTCAGCGGTCTATACCTGTTTTGTCCTTAAAATGACCGTTTAACCTACTTTATTGCCTGCGGCCGCGATACTCCTGGGCCATTCCCCCTGGGCCGGGCCTATTCGCTTCCTTGCCGCTCAATTATGGTCCCAACAGCTACCTATATTTTTTCCATATAACATAACATCCTTGATGGGCGGGGATGCTAAAACCATACCCGCCCCATACCCAGTCAATGCGGGTATTCACCGCGTTGACTGGGTCGGAGGCTCCCCGCATTGACTGGGTCGGAGGCGGTCGGGTACCCGCGGCCATTGCCATCCCACCCGACTAGGGGTGGAAATCGGTACGGTATCGGTATCCCAATACCAAATACCGAAATCCCGAATACCGAATTACACCCTAAAATCAATCCCAATCTCATTCCCTAAATATTTTGATATCCCAATCCCTAAATATTTTGGTATCCCAATCGGTACTTCGATATCCCAATTGGTATTATCGAATACATAATTAATTACATTTGCAATTAATAATTAAATGTATAAAGTAGATTTGACGGTTTAATTTAGGACAAAGAGACTAAGCAAAGAGTTTTGAGTTTGCGTAGAGCTAGGATATGGATAAGGAAAATGGAGGAGATGTGAAATCTTAAATTTTTGTCATCAGTAATTTTTAATTTGATGAATTGGAGGCTAAGAGACGACTAATACTAGTGTTTGCCTTTTGGTGTTATGAAAATAACAAGAGATTATGTCAAAGACGAGAGTGGCTTAAATTGAGTTGGATGAGAACTTCTAAGTTGTGAATGAGTGGTGAATGACCAAAGGTTGTGTGTTATATTTTATTAATTATTATTTTTTTATATTTCTCAGTATTTCGATATATACTAATCTCAATCTCGTAATCCCGAAGACCGAATAGCACTCCAAAATAAATCACAATTCTAATCCCTAAAAAATATGTCAATATTCTATAATATCAAATAGTGTTAAATTTGATATGATAATCGGTATATCTCAAATACCAATACCAAACTTTCAGCCCTATACCGAACTACAACACTTGGCCTACGTTTCCCTTTCTTTTCTTTTCTGGGTTAATTGCAAGGATGGTCACTGGGTTTATTAAAACCGTTTATGTTTGGTCACTGCAAATATTTAATTCCATTCATGGTCACTAAGATTAGTTCAGTAGTTCAAGTTTGGTCACTCTCCGTTAGTTTTTGCTGATGTGGCAGTCAACTATTATAGTTGACCGTTAAATGAGTGACGTGGCCAATAAAAAAATAAAAATAAAAAAATTTAAATATTTACAATTTCCACCTCATTTTACAACTATTACAAATAAAAATAAAACTTACCTCCGAGTGGCTCCGCGTCCATGTCCTCCCTTTCTATCCTCGTTCCAAGATCGCAGTGATCTCCATCGGCGAAGACGCGGTCGCCGTCTCTCAGATCTCGTTCCAGCCGCCTGCCATACGCAACGTCCACGTCGCGCTCAGAGACGACATCGGAATCAGGTCGATCTCCGTCTCCACGACCTTTTCCTTCATCAACATCGTGACGGCGTTGCGTCCTTCGGCGGCCACTTTCCAGGAGCCGATCGGCGGGGCGGTGATCCGGCCACTGCTGAAGTTCTTGGAAGACACAAATTCTTTCTTCTTGGTAAATCTTTACCCGCACAACATGTACGGATTTCGCTCTCAGATCTCTCCCCGATTTGCTCTGTTTCATGAAGGCGCTTCCAATTTCGGCACTGGAGTGCGGGTTCGTGAGGATGAGGGTGTCGATGAGGGTGTTGGGGGACAAGGCGTACTTCGTGGGGTGCAGGTTCTACGGGGGCTGCAAGGGTGGCATGCGGTGACTCCAACACGCTGCTGAGGAAGCCATTGGTGATGGCAGAGTTTGGCAATTCCTCAAATCTTCCAGGCTACAGCTTGGCCACGAGGGATGGCTACTTCAAAAAGATTTACGATTCCATTTACACTAGTTCCCAAAATGGAGGTCCATTTTGTGGTGGGATATTTTGGTAGCTTATGGAGCCTAGAATGGATAACTGAGGAGATGGGTATCAACTAGTCCTTGAATACACCCCTTCAACCGTTGCTCTCATTTCTCTGCAATCTCACAGGCTGTCTTTCCAGGAGCCATCGGCGGGGCGATGATCCGGCCACTGCTGAAGTTCTTGGAAGACACAAATTCTTCCTTCTTGGTGAATCTTTACCCGCACAACATGTACGAATTTCGCTCTCAGATCTCTTCTGGATTTGCTCTGTTTCATGAAGGCGCTTCCAATTTCGGCACTGGAGTCCGGAACGGCAATCCGTTCGAGATGATGGTGGATGCTGTCGTCACTTCCTTGGAGGTCGCCGGCCACGGGAACATCCCCTTGATCGTCTTCGTCGCCGAGACGGGCGAGGGAACACCGCTGAGGAAAGAAGGGGTAGTGCCAGCCTACATCTACGAGCTGGTTGAAGCCGTTTCTAAGAAGCAGGCCCAGCAGCTGCAGCAGGGGAGCACAATTGGGGCATTCTGTACCCAAGCAGGGGGAGCACAATCCGAGCCACTCGATGACCACTCGGAGGTAAGTTTTATTTTTTAATAGTTGTAAAATGAGGTGGAAATTGTAAATATTTAATTTTTTTTATTTTTTATTGGCCACGTCACTCATTTAACGGTCAACTATAATAGTTGACTGCCACATTAGCAAAAACTAACGGAGACTAACGGAGAATGACCAACTTTGAACTAATCTTAATGACCATGAATGGAATTAAATATTTGCAGTGACCAAACATGAACGATTTTAGTAAACCCAGTGACCATCCTTCCAGTTAACCCTTTCTTTTCTTTTCGAGTTTTCTCCCACTTGTTTCGTTGCCGCGAAACGATAACCAATACCGCCTCAGCAGTGTGGTGGGGTCCACCCTAGTCAGCATCACACTCCCTCTTGTTGTGTTTGGCGATATCGATGATGAAACGGCAGCTGACAAAAATCAATACCGCTTCTACTGGTTCGTCACTCCCAGAGGCCAGAGCCAGAAGTCCCAGTCCTCCTCCTAGCTAGGCGATGTTGGCGCGCGAGAACAGCTGATGATTTCTCACCCACGGCCGAATTTGCTCTGCCCAGCCACGTATCCAGAAACAAAATTAGAGTCGCCGGAGTAGATTCGACGAGTAATCGGTAATTTTATCCTTCATGCTTTTGTCCCATATCTCCTTTCCCTTTTCCTTCGCTTCTTTATTTCCTTCCTCGACCCTCTGGCCTCTGCGCGCCGGCGACTCTGTCATTATTTCATCCGGCCCTCATCAGTTGGACTTTTCCCCGCGGTTTCGTTTCCTTTTTTGATTTGGGCGGATCGGATAAGATATTGCTAATTGGCATGATAACCTATCCGGTCGGAATCTTCCATTTATTCTGGTTTCCTTGTTTTGAGCTAATGGTTAGCCTAATTAGTGGATCTGCTGCTTTATTACTTGAGCTACTGCTAGTAGAGATTTGGATTGTCCTCCTCAAATTGTGGACTTTTCCATTTATTTTCGTCTGTTTGCAGATCTAGAGGAAGCTAGGGTTGGTGGAATTGGGGTTTGAGAAAAGGAGGCAAAAAAGGGAAGCTAGAGGCTGTGAGAGACTATGCATACCAGGTATATGGAAAGGACCAACAGTATGGCTAGAGGGAAGAGGAACTTGGAAGGAGGAGGAGACGAGGAACAGCAGCCTGAGCGGAAACGCCCAGCTTTAGCTAGGTGAAGTTTTATTTCTTTTCAATTTGATTCCTCTAGGTGAATCACTTAATTGTACTGCAGATGTTCTAAAGTTTGAAGTTTAATTCAGGGTAATAAATCAGATTCTATTTCATCAGTATGTGAAGCGAACATAACATTTTTCTGTTATGTCGTTGTTTGCAACCTGGTTTTACTTGATACTAACATTCCATTTTATCTTTCTCTTTGTCGCAAACAGTGTCATTGTTGAAGCTCTAAAGGTGGATAGTTTGCAGAAGCTCTGCTCTTCTTTGGAACCAATACTTCGTAGAGTTGTAAGAATTTCAATCACTTTGCCTTACGGGCACCACAAACCTGTCTGTTAAATCTTTGCTAGAACAGTAATCCTGGTGTCATATGATTGGCTATATATCTTTTTATCTTTGGCTAGTTCTGGCTTTACCATCTACTCTCAAAGGTTATTGCCCTTCGGGAACTCCTCATGTGTTAACACTTCTGTAATCATCACGGAAAATTTGAAGGTCTTGTTCTATATCATCTTAGATAGGCACTTGAATAGATGCTCTGTTGATGCTTACTATAAAACTTGTTCGTGTCTTTGCGGGTCTTAACATAATCTGGCTGAATGGTTTTGTTGGGTCCACAATATAAGACAAGTCAAAGGCGGTTGAGGCTCAATCAGGTGAATGGTCATGTAAATAGGGCGGGAACACGCCTATCTCATTTATTAAGCTGAGGAAGTGTGTAATTTTTTTTGTAATTCTTCATTTCTGTAGGTACTTTAATAAAATATGCATATTTGTTTCTAATTCGAGTTTCTTATAGCATGATTGCAATTTATCCTGAACAGGTCAGTGAAGAAGTCGAGCGTGCCTTGGCAAAGCTAGGCCCTCCTAGACTCAATGGAAGGTAAAAACATATTTTGCTTGTGCTGTACAAAAGCACCTTCCATACCACCAAAATGAGAATTGGACTAGAAAATGGTACTTAAAACTGTAACTTAGGTTACCTCGTAGGCTAAAAAAGATGCTCGTTTTCTGTATGCCTCAAAGGTCCTAGGACATAGCCATATGCGCCTAGCTCCTTTGGAACTAACAACTATAATTGACCCTAGCAACAGCCTTAGTGCTCCTCTAATATGATCAGGATCATCTTATGTTCTCTGACAATTCGATTTAGTTCAAGTTTATCCTACACTACTACTGCCAAAGATTTGGTATTCCGTGGTTGTGTGGATGATTTATGCTTGTGTTGCCTGCAGTTCTAGGGTTTCACCAAAACGAATTGAAGGCCCAGATGGACGAAAATTACAGTTGCAGTTTAGGTCCAGATTGTCTCTTCCTCTTTTCACAGGAGGAAAAGTGGAAGGGGAGCAGGGTGCTGCAATTCATGTAATCTTGCTTGATGCTATTACTGGGCATGTGGTAACATATGGATCTGAAGCATCCGCAAAACTCGATGTAGTCGTTCTCGAAGGCGATTTCAACAATGAAGATGACGAAGACTGGACACTGGAAGAATTTGAAAGCCATGTGGTCAAAGAGCGTGAAGGAAAGAGACCGTTGTTGACAGGAGAGCTGCAAGTAGTGCTCAAAGAGGGAGTTGGGACACTAGGAGAGCTCACTTTTACTGATAATTCCAGCTGGATCAGAAGCAGGAAGTTCAGGCTTGGCTTAAAAGTTTCCAGTGGATACTGTGAGAGCATGCGCATTCGTGAGGCAAAGACGGAAGCTTTTACGGTTAAGGATCACAGGGGAGAATGTAATTTCCTTATTCTTTCCTTTTATCTGTTCGTTTAGGGTATAAATGGAGTACTTACTCTCTAGAACTACTATTGTGTTCTTCATGTCGGGACAGTGTACAAGAAACACTATCCTCCTGCATTGAACGATGAAGTATGGAGACTGGAGAAAATTGGCAAGGATGGATCATTTCACAAAAAGCTGAACCAGAATGGGATATTTACAGTTGAAGATTTTCTACGCCTTGCTGTCAAAGATGCTCACAAGTTGCGGAACGTAAGTTTAAAATTTTGATTTCTGGATTCCAAGCCTTAAATTATGGGTTCTGATGTATTGGGATTTTGCTGTGTAGATACTGGGAAGTGGTATGTCAAATAAGATGTGGGAGGCTCTCTTGGAGCATGCAAAGACTTGTGTCCTGAGTGGCAAGCTTTATATCTACTATCCTGAAGATTCCAGGAATGTTGGTGTTGTATTTGACAACATTTATCAACTGAATGGCCTAATTTCTGGCGAACAGTATTATCCGGCTGATTCTCTTTCTGATGAGCAAAAGGTTGGTCTTTATATTGTTCTTTGGCGAAAACCACCACCACTTGTGATTTTGTGCCAATTAGGGTTTAGGATTTCTAACAAGTTTTAGCTTGAGATGAATGGATTTTTATGAATGTTCATTGTAGTTATAGCTGCAGATTTATGTTTCTTTCATCACACTATGTATTTGAGCAAGTTTTAGTGTTTTACTTTTAACTCAATTGGATTACTCATGTTGTGTCCATTAAGCTTAAAATTATTTGAAAATATTTGCTTTCATGTTGAATGCAAAGTTGTGTTGGCTGAAGCTTTCTCTCCCACCTTTCTGACTGACATGGGATATGGGCAAATGATTGTTCCAGGTCTACGTGGATACATTAGTGAAGAAGGCATATGAAAACTGGAATCAAGCTGTTGAGTATGATGGGAAATCGCTTCTGAGCTTTAAGCAAACAAAGAGGCCTGCTACTACTTCCCGGAATGAAGGCCAGATTGTTCAAACAGGTCAAATTGATCATCAGATGAAGCACTCTGCAACTGGAGGTATGTATAGTTGCATGACTGAATATGAAAAGATGAAATAGTTTGCTTATGAATCATGATGAGTTTGGCCTATTGGTACCATCGTACATGCCTAAAAACATCCAACTATCTTAGTATCAAGTCATGGCTAAAATTGAATTGGGGGGTATTTGGAAATCTTGTATTCTTTACATGCGTACATATTCTTCCCCTCTTTGCCTCTTAAGAGAAATGTGATATTCCACCGTTAAGCATTCATCTTTGGAGCAAGGATGGCTACACTACATATTACGCATTCATCTTTGGAGCAAGGATGGCCTCTTTGCCTCTTAAGAGAAATGTGATATTCCACCGTTAAGAGAAATGTGTATAATAAGTCATTTTATTGAGGAAAGCATTTGCATGTTGAGCTGTTGTTGCTTAGAGTTGGAGGTCTGTTCCCCTGTAATTGTAATTTTTACATGCATGTGTAGTTTCTGGATTCAACAATGACAACACGGGAGCAAGATACTCGTCTTTGGGGCTCAATCAACCGAACTCGCATTCCCAGTTGGACAGCCCATTGTACATTCCCCAGTCGCAGGATCATCTGCTCCAAACTTGCCAACACTCAGAGGCCACAAATGGTCAAAACAGCCCGGTCAACGGCCTAGCTCTGCGCCCTCCTCCACAACCCTCCACTTTCCAGGCTCTCACTCCATCTACGTTTCAGCATTCTGCTCTGTCTCCATTATTTGACGACTGGAGTAGTAGTAGCAGCAACAGAGACAAAGGCGTGGACGAATTCCTGACGGAGGAAGACATACGGATGAGGAGCTCTGAGATGCTGGAGAATGAGGACATGCAGCACCTGCTCCGCCTGTTCAGCATGGGAGGCGGTCATGGGTCAGTACCGGATGATGCGTTCAGCTTCCCGTACATGTCTACACCAATGCCGAGCTACGACGAGGATCGGAGTCGGACAGGGAAGGCGGCAGTGGTGGGGTGGCTGAAGATCAAGGCGGCGATGAGGTGGGGGTTCTTTATAAGGAAGAAGGCGGCTGAGAGAAGGGCCCAACTGGTTGAGTTGGATGATGAGGAGCCGGAAGTGGTGGAGACCAGTTCCCATGGCGTTGGCGGTGGCGGTGGTTGTGGGTGGAGAGGGAGGAGGTAGTAGAAAGAGTGGATTATGGAGTGTTGTGTGAAGGGAAGCAGAATAAAATCAATTAATCGGAGGTCGATAATGCCTGTGTACAGTACTGGTCTACCTGTACAGGAAGGAAGGACGCTGTTGCTTATTATCTTTCTCAATTAAGAATGACTGACTTTTGTTTGTGTGAATGGATGGATTGGGTGTAGAATTATATATATTGGACTCTTGGGATAGCAGTAGCACACTATCATGTACTCTAGCTACTCCTTCCTAGTAGTGACTTTCTTTCGTTTCGTATGCTGTACTGTACGTGTACGTATATATATATGTATGTATATAAAGTATAAACTAACCAGGAACGACAGTAGAACCAGTTGTGCTGACTGATGGAGATGGTTACTTGGGTTTGCTTTACAATCAAATGAGCCATTAGGAGTTAACGGGCTGTGGGGCCTATCAGTTTGTTTAGTTGGTGGGCTTCGGCTGAGCAAGTTGTGATCGTGATGTGTCGTGGTCCAGGCGCGCTGATTAGGCCCACAAGCATGTTGGGGGGCGGGCACAACGTAATTGGGCCGAAACTTGAATTAGCCCCTCCCTGATGGCATCATCATCAGTCATCACCAATTACTGGTGATTGGGTATCATCAGTGTTGTAAAAAGCATATAATCATATATGGTCGCCAGGTAATTTATAGAGAAAAAAAAAAAAAAGAATTTGCCGCCATCATCATCGACATCGTCATGTAAACAACATATATGGTCTATGGGGACGGCGTGAGGCAGCCCGCCCTGACGGAAGGCAAGGCACGATCGGCGCGGTGGAGACCGGAAAGGAACTTACTTGTACTTCCGCGATTCCGCGTGCATAAGAGCGAGCCGGTATGAGAAAACGGATGTGGCACCCTCTAGCTCTACACAATGTGAAGTGGACTGCATATGCATGCAAGTGGCGTATATCCTGTTAGAGAGGGTATAAGATCCAGCAAAATCTTCTCCCAACAACTCGAGTTATTGGGAGCAACTGGTTCTTGACATGGTATCAGAGCCTCGAACCAAAAGGTCATGTGTTCGAATCTCCACGACCCCCAAATATTAACTGTTGTCTTTCAAGCACATGGTATGGTGGGCCTGTGCAAACTTCAAGCCCATGAGTTGGCTTTCGTTTGAGGGGGCGTGTTAGAGAGGGTATAAGATCCAGCAAAACCTTCTCCCAACAACTCGAGTTATTGGGAGCAACTGGTTCTTGACATATCCATCATAGGTGGAAATTTATTATGTATCTAGATACTCAAATACTATGTTTGAAATATGAGTGGTGTACTTAGAAATCCGAATAGTGAGGCTTATCCATAATTGCGGCAAGGAGTCTAAACCTTTACCAATTATTTTCATTCCTAAATTTGTATTAAATTTACATGTAATTTTACATATTTTCAAAGGTGAGGGTACAGGCTCTCCTAACTTCAACCTAGCTCTACCATTGTCGAATACAAAACTGCAGCCCAAAATCAATCTCAATCCAAAAATAAGTTCATTATTGCAATTCCAATCTCAAAATATTTCGATATCCCAATTGCTATATAGAATACGAAACTAATTATCTTTGCAATTAATAATCAAATATATAAATAAGTAATTGTTAGAACACTCCTGATGTTGAGCATTTTATATAGTCTAGATTTGTAGATTTAACTTTGTGATTGATAATTTTGGCTATGAGAATTTGAGGTGACGAAAGTCTAATAAAAACTAATTGAAGTCATCATTGATTGGATTCAATCAATGAATTGATTCATTATAGGTTCCCATTTAGCGTCTTGAGTTGTCTAGAGCAACATGAATAAGGAGAAGGAAGGAGATGGTGATATCTCAGTTTCTTGCCATGGGTAATCTTTAATTAAATAGATTGGTGGTTGAAAGACGACTAACGAGAGTGTCTGCTTTTTGGTGTCATGAAAATAATAAGAGATTGAGTGAGAGACGAGAGTGACTTAAATTGAAAAGTCAAAATTAAATTGGATGGAGACTTGTGAGTTGTCAAAGAGTGAGGAAGAACCACAATAGGTGTGCTATATTTGATTAAATTATAATTTTTGTTGTGTTTAGGTATATGTTTCCTGTGCTAGGTAGGCATCAATTATAATACCGATTCGGCGTTGAGAGGTAGAGAGTAGAATAGTACGCATCAATTATAATACAAGTCCTTAATTATAAGCTAGCTAGGTTGTCTGGGTTTCTGTGCTCTGTTGTCTTCCGTGTCGTTTTATATCCGTCGTCTGTTCCTTCCGTAACTCCGTATACGCTCCTCTCCTGGATGGGGCTGCAGAATGATGAAGATGCAGATCCAAATTAAAGTAGTAAGCACCCATCGCACAAGACAGCATAAAAACCAAACCAAATGAAATCAAATGGTACGGTACTTTACAATTTACCGGCCAAATATCGAGTTTAGATCAATTATTATTAAGGAAATTAATTAATTAATTAAACACAACTGTACTCAAACTGAAAGCTAGGTAGTTGGCGCACGACACAGAACCAAAAAGAGAAATGCCAAACTAAACAACAACCGCAGTAGAAAACACACACTACGTAACGTACGTACTACTGGGACTAATTTATGTATATAATAATAATAATAATATAGATTAACAACAGCGAAATACCGAACAAAACAACAGGAGCAGCAGAGACACTAGCTAGCTACTATACTGCTGGATTAATTAACAATACTTGATTGAAGAGTATTAATTGGATCATTTATGTATAGATATATCTCCAAGTTTATTTATTTGAGCTGCTTCTCCCATTCATCTTACATATGTGTGCATCTACAGGCCATAAGATACGAGCTTGCTAGAGAGACAAAACTGGGGTCAAATTAAGCAACTCCAAACTATATAGACAAGCAGTAGAAAACATTGACATCTATACACACATATAGATATATCTAGTAAGAAGACTACTCCTCACTAGGGTTGTTAATGAGCGGAGCCGAACTTTGCCATAGCTCGAGCTCAATTTGTTAATATATTTCCATACTCGAGCTCGTCTCGAGCTATAATACGCAAGCTCGAGCTTGGCTCGTTTATGAAAATGAAAAAGAAAGCTCGGCTCGTCAAATAAGTTTAACGAGTCCAAAATCGAATTCAACACATAAAATGTTCATTATATCTCAAGATTGGGCTAGAACTGAGCACAAAATTACATTCAAACCTGCAGCTAACTCTAGCAAAACAAAACACAATATTTATCCCAACTTCAATACACAAAATCTATGAATTCCAATCCTTTCTAATGCCAAACCGTTAAATGAGCTTGTTCGCGAGATTTCGAGCTGAACATGGTAAGGCTTGAGTTCGACTCGTTTAGTTAACGAGCTTGTTCGCGAACCGACTTGATTTATACAAATCGAGTCTCAAACAAATTTTTCTCAAGTCAGACGCCGAGCCGTTCATGAGTGACTTGGTTCATTAACAACAGTACTCCTCAGTCATCATCATCACTACTAAAATACAAGCAATATGTATGCAGGATGTAGCTAATATTCAACAACTAGTAATTAACTTAACCCAGTAGCTACGCAATATAAGCTGACCACACAGTCACTGAAGCCGCATGCAGCTGGTGGTGGTTGATTGATGAGATTACCGGGCCGGGCCGGGCCGGGCCGGGCCGGGCTTTCTCGTCAATATTTCCAGCCCTTCCTGCTCCATCGTCGGTCGTCTTTTTTCATGAATACATTGCGCTAGCTAGCTGGTCAACTATTAGAAACTATGTACGTACGTACGACTAGTCAGCATGTGAGTCACGTACGATCTCTTGCATCATGTATGTATATATTCACATTGCTCGCTCGATTCTGTGTGTATATATATAGTTTCATCACTTAATTTATCTGTTGCATGCTCCGTGGCTATATATCAAGTTTATATATATATATATATATATATATATGGAGTTCTACGGTACCCAGGGTGAAATCCAGGGTATCGCATACCCTAAGTAAGAAAACGCTATCCAGAACTTGAATTGACTAATCTTTCGGATATGATACGATACTCTAACCCTTAAAGATCAACATCTAGGTCTTAATTCTCCAAATCTTATACCCCAAGATCAATTTAATTAGAAACAATAATCAACGGTTATGATTCGTCCAAATATAGGCAAAAAAATCAATGCACCATCTTAGGGTTTATACTTTATGATTTAGATAATTAGGACCTAGGGTTCACTCATTAAGGGTTAGGGTATAGTACCTAGCTAGGACGACCCACCAATGCCAAACTAATAAACCTAACTAGCTAGCTTTACATGCATGATGCCTTTCTCTCTACATGTATACTAATTACATACTCTCTCTCTCTCTCAGCTCGCTAAGTGATAAACAGACGACAAATCAATGGATGGGCTGCATATATAATTAAGCTGTGCTTGCTTTTCTAGTGCGTGCCATTTTCTTGGTAATAAAATTAAAAGGTACCTTAGATGATTAAACATAGAAAAGTCAGGTTCAACGATACACACGAAACATCTTACAATTAGCCACAAAATTCAACGCCAAATGTTTCATTCTTTTCCCTTTGCTACTTGCTACCTAATTGACTAAACATGCATGATCGAAGCAGACACCAACACCCAGCCAGCCTCATTATTCCTGACCTTCTTCATTTTCCCCTTAATTCTGACCCACTCGATTCATCCATTCATACCCGTGACCTTTAGACATATTCCAATCCCGGCCCGCTTAATTCTAATATTATAGTACCCCCATTGGTCTAACTTAGCTTTGATCTTTTTTCAAAACTGAGGAGGCCATGCTACCACGCATAAACTACTACAATTAGATACCATTTGGTACCAAATGAATCGAGAATTCATTTCATTTTAAAATGAATTACAATGTAGAATTCATTGTCAAATGAAATCTTGTATTTGGAATGTTATATTCAAATCTTTAGAAATAGAATGAATTATCGTGTAGAATTCATTGTCAAATGAATTCCTTTGTTTGGTATGTCATATGTATAAGTAATTTAATTAATAAAAGAGGATACTTATATCATTATATTAAAATTAGTAATACTTGTGGAAATTCCATCTCAATTCCTCGGAATTGCTATAACTAGTACGAATTCCATAGAATTCAAAATTTAGAATTGAAAATAAATTCTTTTAAATACCAAACACAATAACGTTTCATTTCAAAATGAATATTCCTCAAAACTTATGGAATTCATTTATACCAAACCGTTTGTTAATGTATAAAACAAATTTATATAATTCATCACAATTAAAATAAAATGAGATAATTAGGGGTTAAGATATTGTAGAAAAGGGAGGAAGAAAAGATAAAGTCAAATAGGTAGGAAAGGGAGGGTTAGGCGGCCGTGGTGCGCGTGACATGACAGAGAGAGAGATATAGATATGCCTTCGT